CTATTATTTGTCTACTGCTTAACATAGACCTCCTCCATAGACTGCCATAACCCATATGCAATACAAAGATATTCTAAAAACTATTGACACTAGAGGGCGATGCTCTCATTATACCATAATTACACATTAAAGTCATACCGCTGTGATACAGCATAGAAATCAGACCAGTATTAAGACAACAAGCGGATTATTAAAAGCAAACCTGAATGATAAAACTCTATTTTCAACCGACTTCAAAAAAAGAAGGTTCTCAATTCGGTTGAATTTTTTTATGTTTGTTACCTCATAACTCCGTCAAATTTAAACCGGTTTTGAAAAATATTTTTTAATCTGAAAGGATATACTTACAGATTGGTCTCATAGAAATTTTATCAAAATCGATTCAGTAGTTTAATTGTTAGATCAAAATAACTTGTTTTTTTTTTATTTTTTACAGAACTTAGAATGGCAAACAAGCTGACGGCCCACCTGATAGAAAGTGGTAACTGTCGCCTATAGACACGAGCAGTACCATGGACATAACAGAGTATATTGTTTTGCTCATAACATCCATTATGCGTTGGGTGTTACTCAGGTGTTATTCCTCTATACCCTGTAAATTCTCGTAGTACTATTGTCATATCATATTTAAAGTTAAAAACAACTTTATGGTATGACGCATAAAGTTCAAATTACAATACTACAATACGACAGTCTTCAACAAGATTCTAGGAAGATATTTGGAAAATAAATAGCCTGGAGTTATACTTCAATCCATAATGTCGGGTGAAAGCACTTTCAAGAAGTACGGTCAGCAAAGTAACCGAAATAATTTAAATTTTTATTTACTTAATTTAATTTTTTTAATTAATGAATGTTTATTAACAATAGAGGTATAAGTTAACATACCACATCATATTTAACTGTCTTTAACTGTCTAATGCTGAACATAAGCCTCCCCCTGGAGGGGGGGGGGTTGCCAGTAGTTGCCACGCTTGGTAATTAGATTGGCAGTTAGGCTTTGGAAAAAATTGGGAATTTCTATTTCTCAATTTTTTTAATGTACCATAAATCATATAAGTGTTTCTTAATAACACCAATCTATTATTTCTTAGTAGCGGTATCCCGCGACTTTACTCCTGAATCAATATATAAAGTATCCTATGTGCTAAGTTAGGTAGTAAGTTACCCACCCGTATACCAAAATTAGATTACGGGGATACAAAATTAGTCTATAACCTTCTCTATTCCATATAGTACGTTTGTACCAAATTTCATAGTGATTGGTTAAACTGTTGAGGCACTATAAGGTGACAAACAAACTCCCTATCACATTTATAACATTAGTAAAGAAATAAAGACATTTGATTTAAATATCTGTAAATTATTGATGCCCATTAATTCTTCTCTTTCCGCGTCTAGGGAAAGTAGATAGAGTTTTGTTTGAGAAATCAGTTCAGGGTACGATAGGACTGATATACCTAAAGAAGGTAAAAGCCCTTAATAGTAATAATAATAAAAAAAAATTATGTCTGTTTATTGTAAATAATGTATTATTATTTCTGTACAAATATTTTATGCATATTTCATAACATCAGTAACTATACGGTATGCCTTGTCTCGAACAATTACCGTAACCTACAGACCCAAAAAGTAAATAATGTTATTATTATCCTACCACTGTATTGATAGATATTTGTTACTCTTTTATGCAAAAACCACTAAACGGCTTCGATTAAAATTTGATACATGGATAGGTTACCTATTTACTAACTTAGCGTATAACACTATATAATTATTGACTGAATCAGTTATATAACAGTATATAACTGATTCACGTCAGCGAAGTCAATAATTTTAATAAATAATAGATCAATATAAATATCATAATAACTCCGTACCATGTAGTCTAAGCGAAGAAAGGGCCACCCCTTCCTTTCCCGTGGGTGTCGTAACTGAGGGAACTTAATGGTCGAAGGACGAACAGCAACGCTCTCTTAAAACATCGCCAAAGCCTATCTGCGGTTACCAACTTGCCTGCCAAATGTTACAACTACTGGCAAAACCCTCTTTTATTTGGAAGGCCTATATTTTTTTTGTTGGATTTTATTATATTTTTTTTTATTGTAATTTGTGTGCCGTAAGTAATATAAATAAATTATCTATCTATCTATCTATATATTTTTTTTACAACACAGGGGGCAAACGAGCATGCGGCTCACCTGGTGGTAAATTTAGCAGCGGACAGCTAACGGCTGATATAAAATCATAATAACTCAAAAAGGTCTCAATGCTGGGCGTAGTTCTCACGGTAGGAGAACATTAACCTAATATTATCAAACGGATTACACCTTGTATAATATTTTACATGGCTAATTACAGTAATAATGGTAATAATTTTGAAATTACCGCAATAATTCTAAAATAGAATGTATTTTACTTTTTTTTCTAACCATACCTTATGACTGAGGTTCTCAATCATAAAGGAATTGGGTCACGAGTGCCTTATATTAGCCGGCTGTGACGTAATAAATGATACGTAATTATATTTTTTTATTTGAGAAACGGGTTCAGGCGTTTCGGTTTTTTGTTTTTTTCTTTTTTTTTTTTTATAAGACCATAATGTTTTGCTTTTAAATTTTATTGTTTTATATTGTTTCGTAAGTTAGGAATGCTGATAATTAGATAAAGTATTCTGTGTGTTAAGCTGAAATTTATTAGAGTTTAATATATATATATATATATATTAAACTCTAATAAACCTAGAAAGTGTAAATGGCGGACATAACACCATATGGCGTTATGTGCCAGTCGACTATACACAGGAATAACAGAAAGTAGAAGAAGTTACCGTAAAGCAGTTGTGTTTGCATGGCTGTGTTTCGGTTTGGAGGGTGCGATATGGCAGTGAATTTACAGGGTACAGAGGAATAACACCTGAGTCCTCAGGAATGGCAACGCATTGGGAGTATCATGGGCGAAACAGTATACTCTGTTATGTCCATGGTACTGCTCATGTCTATAGGCGACGGTTACCACTTTCCATCAGGTGGACCGTCAGCTTGTTTGCCATTCTAAATTGCATAAAAATAGGGTAATTTAATGTAGACAAAACCAAAACACAAATGCTTCACGGTAGAAACACGAATGGGACAGAGGTGCCCAAGCAAACGACTTTTGTACAGTCTCCCACTGCTAAACTCGCTGACAATGTAGCTTTTTATAGGTGAAAGATTTTTTAAAATCTATTAAACGGTATTTGAGTTTTTCCATTACAAATAAATATACAAAAATCAAAACTTTTCCCTGAATAATATTAGTTCAGAAAACACCGTGCGAAGCCGGAGTGTATGACTAGTAAAGATAATAAGGCATATAACAATAGAATATTACCTCTAATTTTTTTTTTCAATTTCAAAAAGACATTCTCAACTGGGTTATATTTTGTTTTATGTTTTTTACTTCATAACTCCGTCAGTTGTAAATCGATTTGGAAATTTCTTTATCTTTTTTTTTATACCACTGAGGTGGCAAACAAGCATACGGCCCACTTGATGGTAAGCGGTTACCGTAGCCTATGAACACCTGCAATACCAGAGGTATTATGCGCGCGTATTGCCGACCCTAAAGAAACCTCTTTACCCCCCTTTTGAAGAACGCCATGCTGTAGTCTCTTGGGAAAACCTCGGCAGGGAGCTCATTCCACAACCTGAGTGTTCGTGGGAGGAAACATCTCTGAAACCGCGCAGTACGCGACCATTGAGGCTGTAGGACATGAAAGGATATCTGAAAGGATATACTTACAGATTCATCATCATCATCATCATATCAGCCTTTAACTGTCCACTGCTGAACATAAGCCTCCCCCTTGGGGGATTTTGCCAGTAGTTGCCACGCTTGGCAGGCGGATTGACAACCGTAGCCAGACTTTAGAGATGTTTTAAGACGGACGCTGCTGCCCATCCTTCTTAGTCGCCTCCTACGATATCCACGGGATAGAGAGGGGAGGCTTATTCTATGCCCAGACCATACGGCCGACTTACAGATTGGCCTCATAGAAATTTTATCAAAATCGGTTCAGTGGTTTAGTTTTTAGATCAAAATAACTGGTTTTGTCACAATTGAAGTCGAAGCATTTGGCGTTCCATTGTTTCTGCCTACCCTAATGGGAGACAGGCGTGACAGATGTATGTATGTATGTATGTGTGTAAAATCAGTTTTTTTTTTTGTGGGACACAATCTTTAATTATCACAATCAACTAGTGCTATCGTGATTTGTCGATAAACACGTGTAACACAATTGTGGTCGAAACTCGGCAGTGATCGACATTTTTGCAAACCGCAAACAATAAGAGCAAATATTTTTATATGTTACTAGTTATATATTTTTTGATAAGAATTTAAGAAATTAAACAAAATTGAACTCTTTGTTTGCACATCTTTGAGATTATGTTCATTTGTTAAATAAACATGTTTACAACAAACTCACAAGTAAAGCAAAATGTGAGAAAAAATAAATTTGTGTTGCCATAGAGCAACCTATAATTGTATCAAAGAATTGAATTTTAAAAGAAGAAGGTTCTCGATTCGGTTGTACTTTTTTTATGTTTGTTACCCCATAACTTCGTCAGAACAAATTTGGAAACAGATTTGGAAAATTATTTTTTTATTTGAAGAGATATATACTTACAGATTGATCAATCTGTATGCGATCGCATAGAAATTTTAATCTAATATAAAATTTTATCAGATATTAAGTTAGATCCTCATAAATACAGTTGTGAAAACTGCATCCAATTTGGTGCAGTAGTTTTTGTGTTAAACCGAAGCAAACACGTTGATAGAACGACAAACAATCTAACAGTTATTGTTTCTCCTAATGCTCTTATTTAAACCCCTCTTGTTAATTTTTATTAAATATTTCAAATGTACATATATCTATAATTTAATTCTATTATATGTTTATATATTATGTATGGTTTTTATCAAATAAAATAGAAAAATATTATCTATACTCTTACCTCTGTCATAGTCTTCACCTTTACATATCAAAGGAAAATTGTCCAATATCGATAACAACACAAACAATAACACCAGCTGTTTCACATCACTACGGATAATTCCAAATTTGAACCACACACGAACTGTCATCGTGAAGTTTGATTTGTGAACCCGAAGAAAAAAAAAAAAAAAGTTTGATTTCCCGCGTAAATTAAAAAAAAATGGAATAAGCTTCTTTAATAATTCACCTAAGATTTTAAAATTCGAATTTCGTTCACATTTTATTTTTTTAATGCATCTATTTTATTGCCGGCATCTGAACGGTTTTTTCTGCATTTTTTATTTTATTTTTTTTTTCTCTTATATTTTTTCAGTTATAATTCTATTAACAGCGAACCAAGACGTGCGTCCGGTGTCACACCGAAGAACCCACTAGCCGACTGACCAACTTAACACTGTAAAATAAGAAACATACATATTGCAGTTGAAAAGTTACTGTGAAAGAGTTCCATTTTACTTTCTCCGTGTCAACAAAAAAATCCCTACTTACCCTAATAATAAGGTTGAAAACGTATTTCTTTTATACTAAGTAAGAACTCGGTCATACTTAATAACGACTCGCTAAACAAGTGAACGGTGAAATGAGAAATTGTGAGAGACGGACGTATATCAGAACGAGATGGGTAGACATTTCTTTAATATTCCAACCAACCACATAAACTGCGAACCTTGCATTTCTTCTGATATATTTATTTTGTAAAGTTGTAGTATTAAAACCGTTGTATTTAATTCATTGCAATAACATGTCCTATGTACAAAATATAAAAAAAAAAACCTAAAAAGATTAAGTCTGAAAATAAATTTTCTTAATTTAGTTCGTTTAATTTAGGTAGTTAGCTTAGTTAGGAAAGGGATTGTTAGCAATGGAGTTTAACAGCCCCATTGTTAGCAATATACCTTATTAGGTCGACCTCCACGTGGTTTCCCCTGGAAACCATCGTGAACAATTCTTGTTGAATTCGTTACAATGGGCTAACTGACCTACTTCATCCTCACCTATCATCCTTCACTGGTGCCGGTCCTTCAATCCTGCCGGTGTATACCGATAGCGCGGGTGGGGTTACCATTCCATTATCATCCATTAAAAAAAAAGTGGTTATTATATAAAAAATATACTTTGTTCCAAAATATTGCGTGTACATTGATATTTTAGAGAGTAACTGTTCGAATATTTATTTTATTCTAATAAGGACCTCATTGAATCCAATTAAATGAATGTATATTCATTTCCATTCATGTTTCTACCGTGAAGCAGTTGTGTTTGTATGGCTGTGTTTCGGTTTGAAGGGTGGGATATGGCGTAAATTTACAGAGTACAGAGGAATAACACCTGAGTCCTCAGGAATGGCAACGCATGGGGGGTATCATGGGCGAAACAGTATACTCTATTATGTCTGTAGTACTCATGTTTATAGGCGACGGTTACCACTTTCCATCAGGTGGGCCGTCAGCTTGTTTGCCATTCTAAGTTGTATAAAAAAAAAACATTTTTGATATTAAAAATAAATCTTTTTATACTACTCAATTAATATCTTTACAAATGGTTTATATCGTTAGTTTTCGTGGTCAACATTACAAGATTATGCGTAGTAACGGGAGCATCCATCTCACTTTTTCCTAATAACGACAAGAATGACATAATTTTATTCGAATTCCTTTTATTTTTTTAGTTCATTCATTGACCTATTGCGTCCCTTTCTGGCGTCTAATGTGGTTTCAACAAGAGAAAAAGTGACAGAGATATTTTTAACGTTACAACTTCAAAGTAGGTTGCGTTCGCGCGGGCCGTGTGTGAATATCGATAGGCTGCTAATTAAACTAATGTTGTGAGAACGGTAAATTAATTATCGAGTTTTTGAATCGATTTCCGTCTTTTTTTTTAATTTTCACTTTCTCTTTTAAAGGTTTAGGACCCACTTTTAAACAGACTGTACATATGTTGTCACGTACTAATAGTCTATTTGTTATCTTTAACGTAGAATGGGCCACCCCTTCCTTTCCGGCAAGTGTCGTAAAAGGCAACTAAGGGAATTTAGTGGCTGAGGAATGGGCAGCAGCGTTTCTCGTAAAACATCATCAAAAGCGTAACTGCGCCTGCCAAACGTGGCAACTACTGGCAAAACCCCCAAAAGGGGGAGGCCCATAGGCTGATCATAATCAGCAGTGGACAGTCAATGACTGATATGTATGCATATATGTAAACAATTGCCTAAGGAAAACTTTAATAATTAAAATAGGTACCCACATGATCACAGTAATCTTCTGTTCCTCTAGGATATCCTGTGGTATGAGGAACCTGACAATATACATCTGGAAGCACAACCCTGAACAACCAGATACGGGCCAATTCAGAAAAGTTCGCTATCTAAATTGGTTTGACCATGCATGGATAACCTAATAACCTTCATGGTGTTATTGTACATAGTTCATTAACTCCATAAATACTGGGGGGAAAGGGATTGTTGGTGATAAGGACTAAAAGTTCCATTGCTAGCAAAATACCCTACCAGGTTCCTCCTGGAAACCGTCATTCTGTTGCATTCATCACGATGGGCCAACTGATCTGCTTGGGGGGGAAGGGATTGTTAGTAATGCAGATTATCAGTCCCATTGCTAACAATATACCCTAACAGGTCGACCTCCCCGTGGTCCCCCCTGGAAACCATCGTAATGAATTTCAAATGTATTTATCACGATGGCTAACTGACCTGCCTTTTCATCCTCACCTATCATCCCTCACTGGTGCCCCGCCAGCGTATACCGATAGCGCGGGTGGGGTTACCATTCTATTATCATTCATTAACGCACAACCATTCTTTGGAATCTACTTCCAGCAGCAGTATTCCCGAACCGATACGATATCGTAACCTTCAAGAAAAGAGTATATTCCTTTTTAAAAGGTCGGCAGCACACCTGCAATACTGTTAGTGTTATGGGTGATCATGGGCGGCGGTAGTCACTTACCATCAGGTGAACCGCATGCTCGTTTGCCCCTGTGTTGTAACAAAAATAATCTATTCTCAGGCATGCTTTTGCTAAGCTCCACCCGTATCCTGGAGTGAGTGCCACATAATTCTGGGGTATAGACGCCCCCCCAAATCCTTCTTCACCCCTCCCTTAAATAAACCTTCGGTTACCACTATCAGTCTTACAGACCGCTTGCTTATTTGCAAAAAATAAATAAATAAAAGAAACAAATGAATCGACAACAACTTTCTTCTCATTTCTTGGAAGAGGTTTAAAAATAAGTCGTAAATAAGCAAGAAAATCCTGAGTTTCTCGAGAAAAGCCGGCGAAAGCTTTATAGATAAATCTCCCCCAACAATTCCCCATTGAGAACTATGCCAACGTGTTACTTTCAATTTCTCACTGTGCTAGAGGTCAGTAACCTCCCACGACACTTACAAACGCTTAACTTAACTTAGCTTAACTTACCTTACACTTGGGAGAGGCTGGACTTTCGCTTGGAAGTCATGGTAGTGATGGATGTTATATCGATACTTTAAAATGTCGATAAAATTCAATGAGACGAAAATGACCAGTTTAAAGAATAAGACGTTCCATTTTCGAATAGGTACTCTTAATTCGTATATGATTATTATTAAATAACAAGATTATATATATCCAATATTCATCCATACTTTATTACATACCTTTAATAGATTCAGTGTATGTTAAAATACTATATAAAATAATAGACTTATTTTTGTTTCGTAAATAGATATCGAGAAAGTATTTAGTTGCTATCGGCCAATATTTTATTGAAAGTAAAGAAATATATACTTATTACAAATAAAACAAAAATAGTTTAGTTTCTTATCAGTTTTTCTCAATTTAATTTGCTTACTAAAATGGAAAGTAGGGTAAAAAAATTAAATGCGTTGTTAACATAAAACACTTATATATTAATAAATTATTATATTTTTAATTTTATATTACCATTTCTTTATACAATAAATTGAATTAAATTTATTTGCAATTAATATATGTATATTCATAAGTTTCATATTCAAATAGTTTGGCGTTCAAGATTTTTTCCGCCATTAACTGTCCACTGCTGAACTTAAACCTTCTCCATGAGAGGAGTTTTACCAGTAGTTACCACGTTTGGCAGGCGTATTGTCAACTATAGTTAAGCTTTGGTAAATTAAGATGGACTCTGCTACCCATCTTTCGACTATTTTCCCGAGTTCCCTTAGTCACTTTTTGCGACATCCACGGGAAAGGAAGGGGTGGCCTATTCTATGCCGGGACCTATACGGCAAAAACATTTTTTACACATAATATGATTATTTTATACAACTTAGAATGGCAAACAAACTGACGGCCCACCTGATGGAAAGTGGTAACCGTCGCCTATAGACATGAGCAGTATCATGGACATAACAGAGTATACTGTTTCGCCCATGATACCTCCCATGCGTTGCCATTTCTGAGGACTCAGATGTTATTCCTCTGTACTCTGTAAATTCACGCCACTCTTCAAACCGAAACACAGCCATGCAAACACAACTGCTTCACGGTAGAAACACGAATGGGACAGAGGTACCCAAGCAATCGACTTTTGTACAGTCTCCTTCTGGTAATATTTATAAGTATAATTATAGTAATGTTCTCATAACTATCATTAGATAGAATTTTTTTATTATACAAATATTATCAAACAAAAAGGCTTTCAACATTTCTATCGTTAGTCGGTGATTTATAAATATCGATATATTGAATAGCTACATCACTAGCTTCCCACGAGCCATTATCGATAAAGTATTCGACACGGCGCGGCACAATAGAAAGTTTATTTGTACTCACCTTGCACCTGGCGGACCGTTCACAAAAAATCTCTACATTTATTTAACAGAATTTTATTTTTTGTGTAAGATTTAATTTTTTATTAAAAATATTTTATTGAACTAGTTGTTACCTTGCGGATGTTTATTATTACTTGTTATTTGATTAGAATTATTTTGTTTAATTCCGCCACCATTGGTATGTGTGCGACTGGCAACACTCGAAGATCGACCATCACTATTACTGCCAGAAGTTCTACAATTGAATGTTGGAGAATAACAGCATTTTTCGACTACGTGATTCTCCGACTTTTTGATCTAATTTTGACTGCAA